ATGTATATAATATTAAATGAGCTAATGGTAAGCTTCAGTATTTCAGTGTAGTCTTCCCTTCTCTCATTAGCGAAAAAAGCAAGCAAACAAACACAAAACAATGAAACAACAGCAACACTAGACATAACCTTCACAGCTCATCGGAGAGAACATATTAGTTAAAATATTTCGAGCAGTACCAGTGCAAAAGGGTTGTGCAGGTCTGGTTCAAGAAATAGGGCACATTGAACTATATATTTATCAGATGATGTGCTTTGAAAATCAAGTTTACGAAGCGTTCAAACAAAATGAGTTTTGTGAATATAAATGAAATTACTCCGTCACAAATAATGAAGAGTTGGAGGGAGTAAGTACGAAAGTCAATAAGAAATTAAATAAGTAAGTAAATAACTTAGTATTAGGAAGAGTAAAAATATGATGCTGTTCTTGCACTAGATCATTTTCCTTTATTTTACGTTGATTAGATCCGATTACAGAAAAAGCCAAGTCATATTAAAAATACCTTAAATACTGAAATGTTCCTTTATGCAACAGTTTAGTGACTTCATTTATTTATTTTTATCTTTCTATCTTTCTATATCTTCATTATTCCAACAGGTGCCACAGATCGTGTTCGTCTCCATCCTCTGTCTGTTTATCATTGTGGGTAACATCTGTGTGTTAGCCGCTATCCGACTTTCCAAGAATGGAAGAAAAACCAGAATGAATTTCTTCATACTACACCTGGCTATAGCAGGTGAGTGCTTTGTTCCAACTCGGTTGTTATTTTTGTCTATAAAAAGACGGGTTTTCACATTGTGCCTTAGGTGTCAGACGATTTGCTTTACTTTATCAGCCTCTTATACCAGTACAATGGGGTTGTGTGTGAGAGGCTTATCAAATAGGGATAATAGCTTGAACTACAAGCATACGAGTACTTATACAACTGCCTATTTCAGAACTTTATTTATTCAGGGTTCAAACAACATGTCTGAGATCTTTATCTTGTTCTGTATAGCTATAATGAATCCCGTTAAATTTCTGTTGCTCCATGCACCTTAATTTTGAAACGTTTTCCAGGCCAAAGCGGGTGGGTGGTATCTATCTATCTATCTATTTGTAAAATGTCAATAATATAATATATACACACACACACACACATATATATATA